CTTTTGATTGACTTACAAAGGATTTTATTGTAGACTAAATATCATACACATTCTGTTAAGTGTCAAGTGGAAAAGGGATGTTTATTAGATTGCATCTTATCATTTATTTTTCATTTCCACTTTACTGTCTCATACTTGGTTTGCTCAACCAGAGGCCTGTACTACAAGGGCGCCGGAAGCGGGGGGGGCCAGGGGGCCATTGGCCCCCCCACTTTTGAGCCCTGCCCTACATTTTCGCAGCGGCGGATGCCGCGGAACACTGTACACATCCCGTTTCAATAATTCCCCTCTACTCTAAAGTCGCATCTAAAACGCGATCTGATATAGCTGTGTATATTTTGTTATTTTTTATTGTTATATTCAATCTCATTAGCTACAGGCATTTTTGAAGCTTGTAAAGGGAAGATGACAGCTTGCCTCTCACACGCCACTCTGCTCTTCCACAGCGCCGCTTCCCCTCCCTCTGCTGAAATTATGAATGTAAGGCATATAGTAATCATAGATAACACGGCAGGGTCCGTTACAGTTTGTTTGTATCTGATTTCAAATAAACAAAGTCTTGGCTTTCAGAATATTAAACTTGTTTCGGCAAATTCAGGTGATAAATACAACTTTGAAGCTTGTAACGGCATAATTACAAGCGGAGACCGGAGTAACTTTACGTCACAGCACGCATAAGAACAGCCGGTGTTTCTTGTGAGTGTTTTCCCCGGGAAACAAACACAATACACACAAACGCAAAAATACACAAACACGTATACACACTCGCGGGCTTCCCCCAGACCAGTAATCCAAACGAAAATATCTTCCCTCCGTTACTACTTTGATCATTTGCTCCGCTTCCAGAGAAGAGGAAACTTTAAAGGCCTTTTTCTCAAAATGATGACTCTGTAACAGTCATTATATAATGTGACATATTTTGCTTAATATTTGGGAGTACAAAAACAATCCTGATATCATTAGAAAGCTAGGAATCTCCTCTTTCCAACAGTGTATAGCCTACAACTCAAAATGTGTCTTCGCGTCAATGCGACTGATTTCGATGGAGCAGGTTTGCATTAGGTAAAATAAAGCAGGCAGACATAACAGGAAGAATATGTAAATTTTAACCCAATCAAATAGGACATTGTCACACCATTCAAATGTATCCATGTAAATTACAACCAATAAAAAAGCTTAGATGTGTTTATTTGTTACGTTGTTTACTTTATTTGTTACGTTGTTCTGTGTGTGTCAGCCGTTAATCCAGATAGAAAGAATAGATACACTTGCAAACAAGTCAGAAGAACCAGCGCAGAAGAAAACTAAATACAGTCAATCTAAACTTACATTTAACAACTGGAAGGTCACATCCCTGACATCCACTTCTCCGGAGCCTGGACCTTCATCAATCATAGAAGAACCAGCGAAGCGAGAATAGATAAATCCAAAAGCAGCAGCTCTGCGGCCGCAGAGACTGTCAAAACCGCCGCCGCCACCCCCCACCGCCATCCGACTGCATGGAGGTTTGTTGTCGGGACATTGAGGCGGGTAAAGCTGTACAGCTAACTGTCAAAAAAAAGGAGACCGCTAGATCGTCTGGGCAAAGAGAAAGGTACTTCAACGCAGAATGGTACAAAAACAGAGAGTGGTTAATTCTTTGCAAAACCACTAAACGGGCCTTCTGTGAAATATGCAGATTTGCTGCTGTCAAACGGCTTGTCACTTTCTCAAAATGTGGAGATGATAGCTATGTAAATACCGGAGTTAATAACTGGAAAAAGTGCCCAAGCCTCCATGAACAGTTGTCTCTGACTGTAAAATGGGTATCAGCTGATTATGTTGTCCATGAAGACTTCATAGTATGACTGTCCTAAGACTGACGCAGAATCAATAACCCACTGATAAACTGCGATGTTAACAACCTCATGATAACCTCATATGTTTTTAACTTAGGATCATAGGCTACCTGTGTTTAGTCTAGAAAAAGGTAATTGTGTGCATTTTATTATAAAGTTGTGTATATTTACAGACTGTTGCAAAAACTAATAAGCTTATAAACATCAGGTTTAAAACTAAAAGAGCTTTACAAAAAAGTAACACAATTAAAGATGTTTGGAGTTTTATTTGAGTTATTAATTTACATTTTTTGTCAAAGAGATGCTGATTTGAAACCGTTGTAGTTACGGCATTTCCTGTTTCTGCCGGAGAGAGGGGAGTTTGTCCCAAAGCTTGCCGCTGTCTCCCTCCATCTGACAGGAGGGAGCCTCATGTGTCACTCCACGGAGGGGGAGTGTGTAGGGCGTGGTTTGGGATTGGGCCATACACACGCACTTTTTTGGCCCCCCCACTTCTAAAATGAATCCGGCGCGCCTGCTGTACTACGAAGCCGGATTTTCGCTTAGCCGGCTGACTTCAGGGAAAACTCGGGCTTTCCGGTCCTACGATGCTGGTTCTCTTTTTAGCGGACTAGATCTCCATGGTAACTTATGCTGAGCGGCTAACCTGGGGCCGATACTACGAATCAAGATTTTCGTTTAGCAAGCTAACTTCAGGGGTTTCCGGTCCTACGAAGCTGGTTCACTTTTTAGCGGGCTAGATAACTTATTCTGAACGGCTAGCCTCCGGAGCAGGATAGGTTCCAGGATAAGAGCTCAGCCTATAAAAGCTCCGCCTATCGACCAATTTTCATCTCTGTGAAAATGACGTCGCCTTTTCTCGAAAACACTGTGGAGCTCGGAGCTCGGATTGTGAGAGGCGCTCTCAGGCGGGAGAGGATCTTGAGGGAAAGAATAAACCCTTTGGCTTTCTCTGAAGAGTATTTGTATGAAAGATACAGGTTCTCGTCAGAAGGGCTGACTTATCTTTGTCAGCTCCTTGAGCCACATATTGCTAATGCCACACATCGGAGTTGTGCCCTTACGGTGCCGCAGACTGTGCTTTGCGATTTTTTGCGACCGGAAGTTTTTTGTATTCTGTGGGTGATGCAGAGAACCTCAGCAAGAATACAGTCTGCAGTGCTATTCATAAGGTCGCACAAGCTCTGACAGGGCTCGCAGAGTCCTTTGTTGTGTTTCCTGGCACATGTCCCACGCAGATGATCAAAGAGGGATTTTACAGCATGGCAGGTATGTGATTATATCTTTACAGTGAATGTTGTTCCTATGACGTACACGTCCCGATGGCCAGTCAGAAGCTAGAATGCCAACCTAGAGAGCCAATCAGAACCTATAACGGGCTAAAGGGTGGTCCGCACGCGTGGGCCGGTGCGTCTGAACGTCCCGGGCTGAATTTGTGTCCCTGTACACTGTTGTATAATAAATGCAACCTACTATTTCATAGGGTTTCCCAGGGTGCTTGGCTGTATAGACTGTACACACATACCCATCTCTGCGTCCCTGGGAGAAAATGAAGGCGATTATGTAAATCGCAAATCCTTCCACAGCCTCAACATTCAGGTAAATCTTGCACATTCACTTATAGAACACACATTGAAGTCTGGGTGATTAAAGGAAATCACACATTTAAATATTCACACAGTACATGTTTCACACTTGGACTATCTTTCTCTATAACATGGACTCATTTCAAATGAACATTGATGCTACACTGACTAGATGCTCTTATTGTGGAAGTAGGCTTGTTAACCCCAAATGCTTTTGCAGGCCACATGTGACCACAGGTGTCTCATCACCAGCCTTGATGCAAAGTGGCCTGGGTCAGTCCATGACTTGAGGATCTTCTCAGAGTCATCACTGTGTCACAAACTCAAACAGGGTATGGCAACTGTACATTCTTATTGTTTTGTGCTTCTTAAGCTGCCTTTTGTGTATACTTATGGAAATGTTCCTTTATCTTCAGGAGTCTTCAGTGGAGTGCTGCTCGGGGACAGGGGTTATGCCTGCCAGCCTTTCCTAATGACCCCATATCCTGACCCTGGTGAAGGGCCACATTGAAAGTGTCAGGGTCAGGATAGAAATGACCTTTGGACTACTGAAGGCCCGATTCACCTGCCTGCGAGGGCTCAGAGTGGCCCTTGAAAGAGCGGTTCCCATCATAACGGCCTGTGTTGTGCTGCACAACATTGCAACCATGAGGAATGAGAGGGCCCCTCATGCAATCCCCCAACCTCCTGATGTGGTAGACCCCATCACCCTGGACTACCCTACTGGCAGGGCTGTCAGAGATGCTATTGCATGTTATATTGGCCAATATTTCTTGGTTTACTTTTTCTTTAAAGACAAAAGGGATTTGTGTTTTAGGTATCCTAAAAGATGTAAAGGTCACCTTATGCACCTTTCATTTGACTTGAAAAAAAATTACTGAATGTTACAAAATTACCTGTCTTTCTCTCTCCAATTTCTCCACCTCCAGCTTTGTTTTTTCCATCAACAGCTTCTGGTGCTCTATGAGGAGGTCATTCAATTGGATGCTTTGGACTAGGGTCCGTTTTTACAGGGCCCGCACAGTGTCTGCTTCAGCCTGAAACACATGAAACACATATATGTTGCTTTAACATTCAAGCATGGCTCACAGCAAGAAAGCTGACAATTTTAAACTTGACTATACTTTTACATTTTGTTTAATTAATTACTTGTCGTGAGGGCCTAGATGAGGGCCTAGATGAGGGCCTAGATGAGGGCCTAGATGAGGGCCTAGATGAGGGCCCCCAGGCTGCGGGGGAGGAATCGGCACCCGATGTGGGGGAGGAATCAGCACCTGTAGCTGCGGGGGAGGAAGAGTTCCTTCTTCCTGCGAATTGAGCAAAGCGAATATATTTTCAATACACAGTAGTTTTTTGTCCCATGTGCAGAGCACCACCATGTGCAAGTAATCAGAAAGAATCAATTAAAGCAACGTGTCCACACCATCTCTGCGCTCTCTGACAGTGTGTCATCCTCATCTAGGCCCCCCTGAAAAGAAGAAGACATGTAAATGGTCTATTTTATCCATATTCAGCTCAAGGTGACATACCAAAGGTTACGTTACCTCTGTATGAGGTATAGTTGTTGATTGGGGGGGGGGGGGCAGCAACACCACGTTCTTCCCATCATCTGCAGAACAATAAAATACATGTTACTTACTCCCACAAAAATAGATATATAATTGTGTTTTATAGCAACCCAGCTGTTTCAAGCTCCCTGAATCTTACCCTGTATATAAAGGTGGTGGGAGCTGCTGCAACCAGGGTCTGTAGAGAACCCCCCTTCCACCCCTACCATCAAGGGCCGACCCTCATTGTTGCTGAGGGCCAGCTCCTCGGCAGGGGTGAACTCTGCTGGAGGAGGGCCTCCAGCAAAATGTGACCGCTTTCCTATACAGTTATGAAACCCAGACCAATTGAAGCAATACAAAACGTGTATTTTCAAGATCTCAAAAGAGGGACATTTACCAGATTGAAGGATGTTCTTGTATTTTATTTTGGTCTGTTCCCAGGTCCTTTTGGAGCCGCCGGGATTACATCTGAAAAACGAAACGAAAAAATGTCATGTACAGCTTGAATTAAAAATAAATGCTATAAATTAAAAGGATAAAAAAAAACATTAGGCTTAAAGCATGGCTCAAAGTCCACTTGTGACCCTCGGGCGATGATATGATAAAGACAAAAAGGCTGCCACTCAATGATCAATTTGGTATTTTAATGACTATTTATCCGCTGAACTAGAAAATTAATCTGGAAGCGTGACATGACTGCCGTGCATCCAATACACTTTTTAAAGATGTGCAGCTGTGCACGCTGTTACATAGGACGTAATTTACTTACGCATTCACAGAGTCAGCAATTTGTTGCCAACCACTTTGGCGACTTTTGGCAGCCGCAACCGTGTTGCTTTTAACTTTTATCATGTGCTTGAAGTCCTCAAAGCGGCTCATTATAACACTTTGCTCCTCCGCTGTGAAGTACGCTGCTCTAGCCTTGTCCATGTTTGTGATTAGTCGAATGCTCCAGATTCCACCCATTGTATGTGAACGCGCACCTAACTAGATAGGACACGGCTGGCTTGCGATCGAGTTTATAGCCAGCGTCGTAGGACAGTTTAGCGAGAGCGTTTTTTTTTTTTGGATTAAATCAACCGGATTAACTCAAAACATATCCAGGATATGTTGAACTAGATTCTAAGTATACCCCCCTGGTCCGGAGCAGGTTAGGTTGCAGGCTAAGAAATCAACTCAGTGAAAGCACCGCCTGCTGACCAATCAGAGCTCCGTGTGCGGAGTTTAAAGCTATCAAGTCATATTACAGGATAGAGGAAATACAGAAAAACTGCCGTTGCAGGAAAGACGGCCGGCAAAAATCAACTGACTGTGTGAACGTGAAAATTAAAAGAATATCCCCTCCCATCTTCAGAGCAATCTGACTATTATAACATTAGCGTTAAGAAAGCTTACTTAAATATCTGCCACGACATAAGTAACCGGATCAGAGTAACATTAAGTACAGTCCGCTGCACTGTGAGTGCAGACGTCGATGTGTCCCATTATCATTCATATCACATCATAATGTATCATATATTTCCTTATCTGAGTCAGCTGAGCCGTATCTGGCCGTGCAACACTCACAGTGTCACATACTGTATGCAGAAGTATTATTTTAAGCAACACATTAAGTTGACGAAAAACACTCGAGTCAAATGTAATTAAAGTCAGATCCACTCGTGTCTTGGACGGGGCAGTGATATCATAAACCTGTTAATGTACGCATTCAAACACTTTTTCTTTTACCAGCTGTATTCACCTTGCAGGTGCAGCTATGTGGCTTTGATCCTGGATAAAGTGTTTAAGTCATGGATGTTTAAAGTTTAACGTCTTCATATTTGTCTAATATTAGTTGACTTTTCATTCAGGAAATATATGACGCGCTGCGCTGTCAGTACACGGCTTGTCCATGTTTGAGATTGGTCGAATGCTCCAAATACCACCCCTTTCATGTGAACGTGCACCTAACTAGATAGGACACGGCTGGCTTGAGCGATCCACTTGATAACCAGCGTCGTAGTACAGTTTAGCGAGAGCGCGTATGTTTTGGATTGGGCCAACCGGCTAACTCAAACATATCCAGGTTAGGAAAATCCGGCTTCGTAGTACAGGCCTCTGGTGTGTAATGTGCATGAACAGCAGACATGTTGATTATTTATTAATAGCATTTTATGTGTGAAAAACGTCTCATCCCAAGCCAGTCAGACCAAACAAAACTAAGGTACATTATTGTCTGTCTGGCTGTGGTATTAGCCGGTCTAAATGGATTTAACAGAAGTCTGTGAAATAATTGAGTATATTGTAGCGTCTCGCTACAGGAACACAGGGAGGCTTGGTTTGTCCTTTATCCGGGAGTTTATTATACAGATCACAGGTTACTGTTGGCCATAACCACGCCAAACAATCCACTAACTCTGTCGTATATCCTCACTCTCCGTCACATATTCCCCTAGCTCTTCTCTCGCTTCCCGCGTCTCCCCCTCCAGGAACCTCCCTCTTCCAGCCCCAACCAACCAGACAACACTCTCCCACCCAAACCCACAGCTACAGGTCACAAGAACCGTCCATCAAAACAGTGGCACGTTCACTGACACTCTGTAAAATGCAAACAAACTCTGAACAACAAACACATCAAACATCAACATTATAACCAGTCCGTTACACTTTCCCCCCTCCTCAAAGTCCCTCGTCCTCGAGGGAATAAACAAAGTCTCTCAGGTGGTTAGGGGGTCTGCGATTTCTCTGCGGCCGTGCCTGGTCTGCGGCAGGGGGAAACAGGCCCACCGTGGGGCTCAGAGTAGGGCAAGGGAAAAAAAGTCCAGGTTGTGGGGAACCAGGCAAGGTCGCTGGGTCATGGGAGGGGGTTTGGGAAGAAGAAAGAATAGTGTCCCTAGCCCGCTGTGTCTCACCAACTGATCCTAGTGGACTTTTAGCTGTAGATGCTGCCGAATGGAGGAAGAATCAGGAGGGGGATGTCGACATCAGGCCGGTGACCGCTTGGGTGGCTGCACAACACAAACCCCGGTGGGAACAGATCTCTGAGTTTTCTCGTGCCACAAAAGGGCTATGGTCAATGTTCGAAGCCCTGCGGCTGTGTGATGGAGTGCTGCAGAGGGGGTGGAAGGAACCGGCTACAGGAGAGACACGGTGGCAGGTGGTGGTGCCGAGGACCCTGCGGGAGACGGTACTTCGGTCAGTGCATGGAACTCCAGGATCTGGTCACTTTGGGGTCTCTAAGACTCTCCGCCGCCTGCGACAGAGATTCTACTGGGGCCAACACAGACGAGACGTGGAAGATTACTGTCGCCGCTGCGACAGCTGCACTGCACGTAAGGGCCCTACCGACAGATCTCATGCCCAGCTCCAGCAATTTCCGGTAGGGTGCACAATGGAGAGGATCGGGATCGACGTTCTTGGGCCGTTTCCCCGCACAGAAAAAGGGAACCGCTACATCCTCACAGCCATGGACTACTTCACTAAGTGGCCTGAGGCATACAGCCTACCAAATCAAGAGGCAGAGACTATTGTGGATGCTTTGGTGGAGGGAATGTTTAGCAGATTCGGGGCGCCTGAAGTCATACACACAGACCAGGGCCGGAACTTTGAGTCCCGAGTGTTTAAGGCTATGTGCGAAAAACTGGGGTCCCATAAGACCCGCACCACACCCCTTCACCCACAGAGCGACGGCCTCGTAGAAAGGTTCAACCGCACACTGGCTCAACAGCTTGCCATAGTGACGGCGAAACACCAAAGAGACTGGGACGTCCATGTCCCCCTCGTGCTGATGGCGTACCGGTCTGCGGCCCAAGATCCCACTTCTGACACCAAATGTAGCGTCTCGCTACAGGAACACAGGGAGGCTTGGTTTGTCCTTTATCCGGGAGTTTATTATACAGATCACAGGTTACTGTTGGCCATAACCACGCCAAACAATCCACTAACTCTGTCGTATATCCTCACTCTCCGTCACATATTCCCCTAGCTCTTCTCTCGCTTCCCGCGTCTCCCCCTCCAGGAACCTCCCTCTTCCAGCCCCAACCAACCAGACAACACTCTCCCACCCAAACCCACAGCTACAGGTCACAAGAACCGTCCATCAAAACAGTGGCACGTTCACTGACACTCTGTAAAATGCAAACAAACTCTGAACAACAAACACATCAAACATCAACATTATAACCAATCCGTTACAATATAAATCACTGAAACTCTTTAATCTGTTTCTAGTGTCGATACTCGTGGCAATTGGGTGTGTGTGGGTGTGTTGTTTTTTGTATGGAAAGGGATAGCACAGCAATGAAAATAGTCCAAGCATCATTATGACAAAACATTGCACATTTATTTCCTTCCTATTTCTTTATCTTGACTTACCTACACTCACAGCATCAGATTAAAATCGCCATAGCAAGGGATCTGATCTGACCTGTGCAAATGTAAGAGCAAATAATGTCCTTTTCTACTGTACACAGAGAAATGAAAAAACAATATTTCTGTCACTTGAGGGGGAAAATGGGAAGTCAGCATTGCAAACTAAAACACAGAAGTTGTGTTGACGTATTAAGGATTAAAACTGGGTATAGCCTGTATCAGCCTGTATGGAAATGAACCAGCATGCATGGACACACACACATATAGAGCATACATTATGCGTCCTGCCATATGTAAGACATTTGTAGACATATATAAAGACTATATATTATTGAATTACAATTAAGATAATAAGATTAGATATACTTTATTTGATCTAACATATTGATGTTTTTTTCGTTATAGCAGCTTGTGAAAACCATAACAAATAAGTGATTAAATGCTACAGTATTCAGCAAACACAACTGCAGAGCTGCAAACATTGCAAACAGACTAAGGTCTACAACACCAAGTTGTCTTTGTGTATTTGTGAATGAAGCGCCATCTCATGGTTAAATCCTGTAATTGAACAATGGGGAAATTTGGCAACGCCCTCTTAGTAATTTGGCAACGCCCCCAGCCACTGGGATCCGCTGGGTGGAGTCCTATCTGGAGTGCCACATCTGTATAAACTATGGACGCCCCCTAACACCTGCATCAACGCCTCTGTTCAGACACATACTAAAAAGGAAATGTGTTTTTACCAGATGAAATTATCTCAATTGAATCTATAGAGGAACTGTAAGTACTGTTTTACAGGAAGTCATTTCAGTTTTCCAGCAATCAGGCATGCGATTAACTGGCATGAGGCAATATTATATATGTTCTGTCATGCCACACTAACGGCCCGTTAAACACAGCAGCGTTAAAAAAATGTTGGAGGTGGGCGTATCTGAAGCTTGGGGATTTTTTGCGAGCAAGGCACCAACAACCAATCACATGAATCTCCCGCCCCCGACATATGAAGCAAAAAAGCCCGAAGTAAACTGGATATAAACTCCCCAAACAGGCGAAAACCTACCACTGTCTCTGCCACCTCCCTCCATGCCTGGCTCCTCCGGTTTGTATCCCGGTAGGTA